GCCTCAACTTACTGGGGGTTGGAAGGAATAAGAGAATACATTTTCTGGGGTTTAGGGATTATACTCCATTTATCCCTACTAACCACCAATAAGTGATACCCTAAACCCCAAGCTCGATTCCCTTCATCCCTACTAACCAGTTGGAATACATTGGGTCCTGCCCACACCCCTGAACGCTCCATAAAACGAGTAATCATAAGGGCTCTGTATAATATACAAAAATGTTATCCAGATGTAAATGAGTGGGGGCCGTACCCCATGAATACATCACACCTGGAAAGGTCCTCCCCAGGGCGCGCCTCAAACCGGCAGTTGCTACACTGCAAGCACAACACTTGGTATCTGATACTAAGAGTAACAATAGGAACTAATGAGAATAAGAACAAGAATAAGAGGAGTACTACAGTAGGAACGATAGGACTTAATAACTGTAATCCAAATAGTAACAGTGGTAGTAACAGTATAAATCATGCGTGCCAAGTCACTTGCTCAATATACTGCTGCGGCAGGCTGTCAACGTTGCTGGCGTAGAAATATCCGCGCTTGGTCAGAGCATTTCGCATCCTTACCCATCAGGATGGGAATTGGAAGCTTCCAACTCCGCATGCAAACGGAGGGCTCAGAATCAATTGACGTTGAAATGTCGCAAAGGGAGATAGCAGTGTTACAGCAGTTCTTGCGGGTACTACAACTCAAGTCATATCTCCATATCCACGGAAAAACAGAGAAGGCCGTTCCCGTCTGGCTGGGCTTAGTACAGGGTCAATATCAGCAAACAACTGAGTCGCTTCCAGGCTCTTGCCCAGTCCCCTATAATACCCATTTAACATGCCTACATTGTACATATCCCCTTCATAAAGCCTAATCCTCTCCCCTAATATTTAACGACCCCCACCCCCTCTAATATTAAATAGTCCTAATATATCATAACATACCACATGATGGGAGTATCTAATATTAGGGGTAGGGGGGTATTTAATATCAGGGGGAGGGGAGATTATCCTTGAAGCCACGGTGCTCGCTCAAAGCACACGCCCGCTTGGGATGATTTGGCATCATGATCTGACTCATGTCCACGTGAGGGTGTGCTGCGGAGCCTATCGTCAACTGCGAAGGAGGAAGATAATTTCCCCGAAAACGGGGGACCCCAATAGAGACCCCAAGAAATTTCAAGCCTGACTATTGTCACCCCGAAAAAGGGACCCCTAATTTTGGATACTCCCATAACAACAGTAGAAGCAGAACACACAATGAGGACTTTGTCAGTACCGGTAGTTTCCCAAAATAGCGGAACCCCAGTATAAACCCCAAAATGCAAAAAAGTTCCCTATTATGGGGGGAACCTCCCAAAAGCCCAGCTAGTTGTCTGAAGTTGGCTCTCTCCCTTGGTCTTCCTTAGCGGGACCCCACACCCCGTAATAGTAGTATAATAAGAATATAAGAGGACCCTAATATAATCCCTATTATCCCTTATAGTCACTATTACTGGGTGGGGGGTCCACCTAAGTTCTTCCGATCCTTAGGAATCTTTCGGCGTCTTGAAGCCTGCCCATACTTGGCATACCTCCTCAAAACAACTTGGGGCTCTTCTATCTAACAGATCCGTGAAGACGAACATATGAGCCATAATCTAAACTCCTTAAAGCGGGAAACATAAGGGAGTATATAGGGGACTAGTATAGGGGTTATTCAGGGGGATACTAGGAGTTTAGATTATGGCTCATGAGACCTCCAGCATCAAACCAAATCAGAGCTGCTTGCTGTCAAAATCTGCGTAACAAATTATCGCGACACTTCCTGTAATGATGAACTTTACTTCCTTAGCATGCAAGCGTATGCTAACTTCTGAGAGCAGTGAAATTTATAATCCTAAGCCCTGATCCCTAAATCGTGTTGCGTCCGAACTGGCTTCTTGCGCTGGGCCTGCCATGTGCCGTGCACAACCAGATGCTCGCCGCATTATGCCTCAGAGGTAAAGATAATCATTTGTGGAGATTTCAAATTCCAAGAAGCAAGCATCCCTTGCGGCGAGTCCCAATAGTCAGGAGTGTAGTGTCTGGAACAAGTGAGTAGCGTTTTTTGGTGGTTGAACCTAGTAAGATTATATTCCTTACATAAAATACGATACCTATAATCTTACTCTATACTGGGTACCATAGTACCCCCAAATACAATACTACTCAAGTGAGGCGGACCCCTTTTTTGGCAATACCCATCTCCGTAAGAATCAAACAACTTTCTGAGGATTGGGTTTGCTGTGTGGAGCGCTTTGCCCAAAACGTTCTACCGCAAACCGAGGGTCTGCTGGCTGCCAGCCCATGCCTTTGCCCAAAGTAGTGCCAAGCCATGGCGTTCGATCTAAGCCCTTGAAATCCAGGTAGGTATTTCTAGTTTACGGGTTAGAAGTTTGTCTAGAGATATTCCCCCAATAAGAGGGAATCAACTAGAACATCACGTGGAAACTAGGAGGACATAAAGACTTAGGGTTTAAGGCTAGGTAGGCGTATTACGAAAAAGTCGTGTTAACTATCATGCCAGGTACATGCCCTAATCCCTAAACCCAAAACCATCCGAAGCCCATGGGCTTTAACCTGGTTATAATCCTGCTAGCAACCCTAAACCTCCCCTAAACCCCTAAACCCTACTTTGAACAAGCACAGAACCATGGCTTCCACCAAATACGTCACGAACCATGCTGTGGGTTTAGGACGAAGCCAGAAATCAAACAAGATGGCACATTCTGGAATGAGGGTTTAAGGGTTAAATTAGGGTTTAAGGGTTTAGGGTTAAATATGGTGTTCAGGGTGTAGGGCTAAACTATGGTTTGAGGTTTAAGGTGTAAACCATGGTTTACCGGCTTGGGGTTCTCAAGAATTGTTAAGACGGGTTTAGGGTTTAGGGCAAGGTGCCAATCCGGTTGTGGCTCGAGCTTCATTTTGATGTCACGAGCGTATGAGCTACAGCCCGGATTTCCCAGACAATGAATGGACATGGCTTCCACACTATACTAAACTACCCAAGTGGTCCCTATATCCACCCACAATGGGCCGTTGGGAACCCTAATATTGACAGTAGCTCATATAATCCATAGAATCCCTGTAAACGAGTGTATAGTTCCAGGCTTAATTTTCCATGGTTATTTCATTTCATCTTCCATCTTGGGGTAACATACTTATATAACCCCTAGATATCCCTTCAGTGTATTGACAGTAGCTCACCATGGCCTCAGAATTCGAGCTTGAGGCCTTCAACTCCACTGGCGACAGTAGGAGGCCCTCAGAGGGGGGAGGGGGTTAGGCTTTAGGACAATTCAGCTCACATGGTTCTGCCAACTCCGATTTGTGGTGTCCACTTACATACAGAGCGTTGTGTCCTAGACATACACTGGATCCAAACCCCAAAATGCTGAACCCTAAACCTGTTCATTTCAGCAGTTTGTGGCCGCAAGCTCTCTGGCTCAAAACCTGAGCGGCTGGACAGCGTGTGGTTGCACTCTTCAACATCATCTCCTCCTCGTACCAGCGCTGCTCGACAGTTGCTGGAAGAGCGAGCAAGTAATCCGTGGAAGCATAAACACGACTGCCAGTGCTGCACAAATGGTTACAGATGTGCAGCTACAGCTGGCTGCAGTAAGGAGCGCTGCTCGTACTGTTCCGGCGCCCTTGTGGGTGGATATCATAGTCAAATCATGGTCGGCAGCTTTCTCAGGAGAGGGTGTCGTCCACGACGCTTCTCAGACTTGCCACGCGTGCTCGACCTGGGCGTCAGGCACCAGAATGCTGTGCATGTCCTCAGCTCCCTGCACTTAACAAGCTGTTAGCACAATGTCAAGTGCAGTGAGATTCCATATGAAGCCCTTAGCATGCTTGATTGGGTTTAGGGATACCATCCCCCAATGATGGAGAATCAACTGGAAATGAAACTGGAAAATGACATGGAAACTCCTGTTATATGTGGGATTTTGGGGGTTAGGTCCCCAAAATTCTACAATTTACGGGCTTCATCGGGCTCCGATCGGAGCCCTGATTCAGCTGGACGTGTCTGTACCATCACCTCATGAGACGCCCGCGTCTATCTGCATGGGCAGTCGGAAAAAAGGTGCAGAAAAGGCTGTAGATTGCATGCGTTGATGGAGGTTTCCTACAATTTGTGGCACCTTTTGAGGGTCCCAATACTAACGATTACCGTATGCTGGAGTCGACATCGGGGTTCCCCCATCTTGGAAAACTACTGTATAAAGTGCATGCAAGGAAAGATGCGCAGGCCAGTTGGCCCAGAGTGAGGAACTTGGCATTTCTAAGGTACTGCCCCCAACCCTGTAACATGTCTGTATGAGGGGCCATAATAAACACTATATTCAACTCATATAACTATATTCTATATTGCAGGGCTATACACTAACTATATGCTACATAGTATCCAACAGTTAGAGAGTGGGGACAGTACCCAAGGTATTTCCGCAGGTAGATGAAGAAGGTGTCCGTCAGACTCGCTGGGAACTTCACAGGAATGGAAAATGACATGGAAACTGCTATAGTATATCGGTGGCTATGTTGGAATAATGGAAACAAACCCTAGCCCCTAAACCGAATATAGTATATTCCGAAACCCTTATCCCAGCATCACCTTCCAGCATCTCCTGTGCCCAGGATTCCTGGAACAAATTTGTACATTTCATTGGGTGAGCTAAGCAAATAATACAGCCAGCACGCACGGCGCGCGCATGTCAGCGAGTAAGACGCGAGCAGGAACGCCATAGAGGCTGGCACAACCCAATCGAAAACTTCATATTCCTGTCCGGATGCAAGCCATTGGCGGAAAGATTGATGATGAATGTGTTTTGAATGAGGCTAGCAAACAAGTTCGAACTCGTGGAAATGCAAGCGGGATGCTCCGGCATCATCAAATGGGCTGAGATAAGACTGCCGGCATGCGTTGCCGACGTCTTCAGGCCATAATGCTCTGCTGGAGCTGGAAAATCCCACGAACGGCTCAGCACATCATACAGCCAAAACAAATGCTGGCTCGGTCTGCGTTCGGCGAGCACACTGAGGCAGGTCTGGTAGGCTGCACATGCATGGTAGATCTTGCAGCCAGGGCTGCGCAAGGAGCAGGAGCGCGGCGGGGCGCTGGTGCTTTTTGAGGGCTAGGCACTGCCTCACCACGGTGCGGCAGTCCTTCGAGATCACCTGCCACCGGCCCTCCTGGCAAGTCACTGGCTCCGAGAGCACGGCTTCTGCGAAGGCCTCCACGTTTGGGTAGCCGCTTGGGCGGTGTGGAAGGCTGCCCATCAGCATCCAGTGCAAACAGAGACCCGCTCCCCACACGTCGTGCTGCTCAGACGGTGACTCCCCATGCAGCACTTCTGGCGCAGCATATTCAAGTGTACCTGTCATGGTAAGGGAACCACCCTCCATAAGCGGCCGTGCCGTATTGAAGTCAACGAGGTGCAAGTCCGTGAGATCTGAGGACACCAGCACATTCTCAGCTTTTACATCCCTATGCACGATGCGGTGCTCGTGCAAGTAGCAGACAGCTGAGAGCAGTTTCTTGAA